CAGTCCACGCAATTGGTGACCATATAAAATCATGTTGTTTTGATACTAAATTGTCAACATTATTATATAATGAGCATAATACATAGTGAACAATTAACTTCCTTTATATATTTTTATATTAAAAATATTTTTAAAATTTAAACTATTTTCAGTTTTAAGGAAAAACATACCAATATAGCTACATGGCTTAGATGTTGCAAATTAGATTCTAGAAATCAATATGTTACTTTAGATTACTAAAAACTGAGAAAAATAAACTAAATATAGTTTGATTTGAGACATGAAATTATCAAAACTTAAGGTAGTGTTTGGTATTAGAAAATAGAGTTATTTTTTGTTTTTATTTTCTTGAAAAATGAAAAATATAAATGAAAATGTATTTGATAATTAAAAATGAAAACAAGTTTTTAAAAATTAAAAATGAAAATGGGTTGAAGAATGAAAACAAAAAAAAAAAATTTGTTTTCAATTGTGAAAATAAGGAATATACATTACTTTTTTCTAAATTTGATAATTTAAAATACGATACGATGATACGATATGAAATTGATATAAATAAAAACACATAAATAATACTGTTTAAAATATTAAAAAAAATCATAAATAGATTTAATAAAATAAAAAATTATACTTTATATTTTTTTGTCAACACAAACTGTAACATATAATTTTCATATAAAACATAATACAAATATAATATTTTACACGATATAATAACATAAATTGTTAGGTCTACTTTTTTCCTTATATTTTGCAAATTATCATATTTGAAAAATTTTTAATATCATTAATTAATAAATATATATTATATTTATAATTAAATGACATTAATAATAATATTATTGAATATTTTATTTATTTTCTTATTTTTATATCTATAGAAAATAATTTTTATTTTTGTTTACTAAACATATTTTTTAAAAATAACAAAATAAAAATAAAAATATTTTCTCAAACCCAAATAGAGCCTCTTGATTTTGTTTTGAAAGTATCACATTATAACTTAAGACTCTTTTGTGATCTATGAAATAAAAAATAAATAACCTATTTGACAAACCATTACAAAGGGAATCTAGGGTAGCACGATATGTAATGTAACCATCAATTATTTCTCCCATCGATGATTGTAGGCACAAATTCTCTAAATCCAATAATATTGAAAAGCCATAATATGTTATTATAATATATTTCCTTTTTATTAGAAGTATAATTTTATAATATCTTAACGATAAAATTTTTAAATTTCCCAAATAAAAGATGGCCTCTAAATACGCAATTAAAATTTTTTTACAACCTCACATTTTTTTCTTAAAATATTCATATATAAAATATTAATTTTTTCATTTAATAAATAATAATTTTACCTTTTTTACACTTCAACTTTAAAATTTTTGGGAGCCTTCATTCTCAAGAAATTTAAAAGATTATTAAAAATTTATTTTTGAGAAATCTTTAAAGCTCATGGAAATAAATTTACGAAAACTTTAAATTTTTGAAAGTTTTTAAAATTCTCATAAATTCAATTCCAAGAGCTTTAAAAGTCTCTTAGAAATAAAAGTTTTTCATAAATTCATTTTTGAGAGTTTTAAAAATTAAAAAAATTTTTTTTTGAGAATTTTAAAGATTTTTCAAAAATTTATTTTTAAAAAACTTGAATTTAATAAAATATTATGATAAACTATAAATAATTTTCACATGAATTTAAATCAAATTAATCAATATATATGTCGAAATCTTACTTGTAATTAATAAATACTTGAATAATTTGCGATTTAAGTGTTGGTTTGATAGTTTTAGGATTAAGAATAAAAGAATGAAAAAAAATTAAAAGGATACGAAAAAAAAAATGATTTTGTTAGATGGAGTGTATTTAAAGAAAATATAAATTTTTATTTTGAAAGTAAGATGTATTTAACGATGACGTGGAAAGAGAAATATAGTGAGTGTAAATGGAATTCTCCAAATAAAAGAGGTTTATATTTCATAATTCCCATTAAAAAGAACCATATTCATGATCGGAGATCCAAACTCACAGATCGGAGCCGACCCGATCGGCGCCTTGACATAAATTCAAAAAAACAATCGTTCCAAAATCGCAGGCCAAAAACCTTTTTGTTGCAAAACAAATACAAAAAAAAAAAAAAAAGGGTAACACCCAGCACTCTATTTTCTTCAGTAATATCCGAAATCAAATCATACTGGCAAAGACCTTCTTCTCCCTTGGCTTCGGTACTCTTTTTTTTTCTAACCTTTTAGCTTCCATTTTTCTTTTTTCTTTTTTTTCTTTTGAAGGGTCTATTTTTCTTTTTTTTTTTTTAATGTTTCAAATTATTAATATGAACTTCAATTTTTTCTTTCTCAGAGGGATTAAGAAAATCAAAGAATCACTGCCATCCCAGATTTTAAACAAGAAGCTACCTCGGTTTTTACAAAAATGCACCCAAACATTCGAACCCGATCGCCGTTACCATAACGATTTATGCTACCTCCGGGTTTGGTTACAGTTGGCAATTAACTAACGAACCCATTCTTCATTTCTCATTGTTTTTATAAGTTTATAATTATTTGGCTTCTGGGCTTTTTATTTTATTTATTTTTGGATTGATTTATTTTGGTGAGTAGATGAATTTTGTGGAAGACCCGAGGGTGCTGCTGAGAAGAATGGAGATGAATCATATAGGGACAAAACGATCTTTGTACTACCAAGCGTATGCTCTTTGCTATGAGAAAATCAAGAAATTTGTTGAGGCTAAAAACTGTATCATTTGGGAGTTCAAAAGTAAGTTTTTTTTTTTTTCTTTCTTTCTTTAAATTATTCTATTTAACTTTCAAAATTAATATGAATAATCTGTAAATCTGTTTAATGATTGTTTTCGCCAAGTGTGGAATTTGTAACTAATCTTGGGTATTAAATAAGATGAATTGAAGTGAGCTGCGCGCTGTTTGATTATTGCTTTTGAGGAAATTTATGTTTAAGTCTATTTTTATGGCTTTCTGTTCAATTTTATCATACTTTTTATGAAGTTATAATCAAAACAAAGGGGGGAAGTTATGTACTCACTGATTTCATCTTCTTATTACTTCATCACAAACAAAAGATTTTGCTTTTGTTCTAACGATTTTTCATTCTGTACAAAGTTTATAACTCGAAATTTATAGCATGAAATATGTAATTATTTATGTGGCATATGTATTTTGCAACTCAAACTTGTGCTTTATTTAGTTCTAATTATTAAACAGCCTTGCAGAGCCGTTTGATGAGTTGCAAAAATCATATGAGCAATTCCTTGATTGTACGGAGAGACATAAGAAGAAGAAAATCCAGGTAGTTCGTTTTGTTTCTTATCTAGTGTGCTTGTTTCAATTATATTTTATAACAATATGACTATGTGCTGGCATGCTGCAGCGCCAGGAAGGAAAAACTGTCAGGAGGCCTCTCCAATGGTGTGAGTTAAAATAATGAAGGCATATGCATAATTGAGGAAGACATAAGAGGTCTTCAGCATCACATAATGGTAAAAAAAGGTTGAGACCAAGAAGGAGTTGGCAGCAAAAATATGTCCAAGAAAGCTGTAATGGAAAGAGAGTTGGATGAACGCAGGAAGGTTGGGAATGATGATATACTTGTTGTGAAGTTCGTTGATACTGCTATTGTTGGTAAATCTGAAGCAAAAGATGCCTGCCACCATGGACTAGTAGATCCTACAATAAACTTGGAGGCAATGAATGCAATTAATAGCATGTTTTGAGAACCTTTAGAGACAGCTCCTATTGGGAGGAGATCACACCGAAGGCAGCTGAAAGAAGATCAAGGCATGACTATGGTATTTAAGGTGTTTGATGAAATTTTGGATGGTGGAATCAACTAATCAATTCAACCTGAGGAAAAGGGGCTGCAGGGCAAAGCTTGAACTTTTCAGCCTCAGGAAGATTTCATTTAAGATATGTGTTGATGATGATGAAGAAAACAGTGAGGCTGGAGAGGGAAATGATGGGAAAGATAACATGGAGCAAATTGAGGTTCAAAATTCAAGAGGCGGTTCTATGTTGTCAGCTTCGCATTTAAATGTGTTTGTGTTTCCCGGTCCTAATGATCTTTCTCCTGAAAGTTTAGATGATGTTAGTGAACAAGTTCATGTCTCATGAAACTCAGAGTGGAGACAGTGGTTCACAAATTTGTTGGTTCAACCATTTCAGATGAGCCAGTGGTAGAAAATATTTGCCACCATGGCCTAGTAGACCCCACAATTAACTTGAAGGAGGCTATGCAAGATATCAATGACATGTTTGGAAAGAACAGATTTTGTCAGGGCAAAGAGAAAGAAGCAGGACAAAGCACTGATTAAGAAACAAAATCTTGTTGGGTTTTCTATATTTCCCGATGATGAATTGGAACATCAAGAACATCAGCCCCCATCAAAATCATCTGGCTAATTAAGTGATTGTGATTCATTTGAGCCATTGGTGTTTAGAAAAGAAGCAAAGGATGATATAAATAAGATGTTTGGAATGCCACAGGACTTCTAGGAGAAAGAAACTTATTTGTTGTGCTAGAAAGAGTTTGGACATATTGCTACAGTGAAGTTATTGAGTTTTTATTCTGACAATTTGAATTAAAAACCTTGGAGTGGATGGAATTTCTATCTTGTTTCTTCATATGACAATTTTGAAATGTGATGTATCGAGTGCCTTTTTCCATGTGCTTTGATCTTTGTTGGAGCTCAATTGTATATAAATACAAATGCTTGAGATTCTTACGCATTGCTTGTCTAAACAGTTAAAAGAAAAAAAAAATGAAAGTATAGTTTTTCTTTTTTTCAGGAATTGTTGCAGCAAAAACAGCATGCTGCATGGCAGCAAAGTTCAGTTTATTCGAGTAATAGAACAATTTACCAGCATAGATGGATAAAAATTGTTAAAATTAAACCGATGAGGAAAACAAGAATCAAAATCAAAATGAAAACTTAATCGAATCCAGGTAAACATAATTCTTGGTGACATTAATGGTGAGTGGGGGCAGGGCAATGAGCTGGTCGGAAAGCCAAGGGACCTGCAGCATAGATCACAACCTCGTAATCCTTTCTGTATAGTCTCTTGCTTTCATAACGAAGTGGGGAGCCGTACAGTACGTAGTTAACGTTCAAAAGGGCGTTGCAGTTCTCAAGAGGTGATGAAATAAGCTTGACATGGCAAGATTGGAGAGGATGATCCAAAAGAGAGTGGCTCATTTTGAAGCCTTCAAGTTCGGCAAAGAAGTAGCCATTTCCGTCTGTTTCAAAGGCCTTGTAGAAGCTAACTTTATCCTTGCTGTTTTTGCAGATGACACTAACTTTAGCTGAAGCAATTGGTTCTGCTTTCGACAAGGACCATGGTCCATAATTATCACAGCTCTGGCAGTACACCATTCCTTCCACAACTACCTCAGTTTTCTTCTCTTGTGGGATGTCTCCATAAGCATCTATGGAGCGGAAGGCCAATGGGAGAAGCAACAGTGATGAGATGAAAACTGCTAGGTGACTACTAGCCATTTTTCAGGAATTTTAGCTTCGAGCTTGGAGAGAAGATTAGGAAAAGAAAGCTATGAGAATTGTGGGATGGAGGGGTACTACCGGGGGAGCTATATATATAAATATATATATATATATATATATATATATAGTTGGGGAAAGTTTTGAAGTTTTGATGGCCGTGGAGGCTACTAAGTACCAAGTACAGTCGACTTTCTCTCCTCTATTTCTCTACGTGAAGGCCTCTTTCCTATTAACAATGAACTTGGAATTCAAAATTGGGCTATGGAGCTTGCTTTATAAGAGCCTCTGGCCTTTACTCAAGGCTCCAAACTTGATATGGAGTGGCTTAACCGAGGGGTTGGCGACATTTTCATGTCTGTCTGGAAATCAATGGAATTGGTTCGTTTTTGGGTGAGATTTTGGAGTTGAATTTATGGATATTCCTGTTTAAAATTCCCTTTTCCGGTTTAAGATTTTCAGGAACCAATCATATTAAGCTTGGCTCTTTCTATACACTCCATGGCATTCATGAAGTTGAACTTTATTAATCAATAAACATTACAGAGTATTACTATTTTGTTTACGTGAATTGTGTTTGATTTGCTCATGAATAAAATGGTAGTAGGATTTGATTAGAAATCACAAGCATCATTTTCAAGCTTATATGAATTCAATCTGAAAATAAAGATAGACGGTTGAAGTAATGCACATAATTAATTCCTGCATCTGCTATTCTTTATACAACTCTCTGTTATAGCTGGAAGATTAGTCTACAATATACTTGGCAAAGAAAGAATGTAAGACAACAAATTCATTCAGCATTACAAAAATGAAGGTAACAATGAACAAATTGGAACCTGGATTTCCTCTCTATCTCAAATACATACAGCAAACTTTCCATTACCTTAAAATAAATACAACCAATGCTGGCCTACAGGCAAACTTCTTTTTGCCTCTCCACCTACATAAGATCAAGAAAACATACAAGTTTCAACTTCATCACCTAGCTTTCTTCGGGAGACATAATCTCAAGCTCTGCCCACCAAAGAGGAGAAAGTTTTGGGATTGCACCATCAGGTGTAATTGCAGTAATCTCTCTCAATCTTGTACTGACTTCTCTTATATCCGGTCTTTGTCTAGGTTCAGGTTGGATACAAGATTTTATGACCTCCCCAATTTTCTCGAGTTGCTCCCCATTGAAACATTTTAGAGTAGGATCAACCATCTCTATGAGGGCTTGCTCCCTTCTCAAATAGTCTAATGCCCAGTCTTCAAGTGAATCGTTATCTGCCAAGTAAGGCATCCTACCCGTTACTATTTCAAATAATAATACGCCAAAGGTATAAACGTTACTTTCTAGGCTTGCTAGTGGAGTATCTGAAAGGTTGTTTCTGTCTGATTCCCGCTCCGTTGCAGTTATCTCATTCCAGAAACACAAATCTGAAATTTTGGCTGCATAGTCTTCTGTTAGATTGACAGCTGAAGAGGATAGGTTGTTAAGGGGTAGGGGTGGGTTGAGTTGGTGCATATGCTCAAGGCAGTAAGCCATGCCCATTACAATTCTCAACCTCATTGCCCAGTCCAAGGGCTCAGATTCTTTAACTGCAACATCAATTAAAAAGATACAATGTTTAGTTCAAAGCTTAACACCAAAGGAAAATGTAAATGGCAAATGCTTGCAAAGAGTGAAAAACATAATGTTGCTTCTTCATGGTAAGTAGGGAAGCATATGATCCTCAAACGCCATGTTATGTAGCAAAATACCGTGCATAATTCTAAGCATATAGGAACCTTGAGAACATATGCATTGATTAACCCTTTACCTAGGAAGTCATTAGCATGAAAATAAAAAGGCATAGCTAAAGTTTCTTTTCCTCCATTCTTCTATGGTAAGGTAAAAGGTTTAATGTCACCGCTACAGGGGATTCCTAAATATCAGGTTCACACGACCACTCAATAACAAAAATCCTATAATGTAAACAACATCGCAAGACAAAGTCAACCGTATGACATTCATATCCCAGAAGTCAAAAGTTCAGGATGAGTTTCCTTTATGAGAAAATCAACAAGTTGAACAGACAAGATGAGTAACCAAGTCTTTTGGCACTACTATGAAAAGGTCAAACTACAAAGATGAATAAGAAATTAAATTGACATAAATATCATATTATGAACATATTAGTAAGGCTAACTCAGCTCCAGATTCATTGCTTGAAGTAGCAGAATTTGGTGGCTCCAGCCTCCATGGGAGCCTGTGAAATACCAGGCGTTCTTTAGGCTAAATGCCTAAACTATTATGTTAGAAATAGGATTCCCCCACCCCCCTCAAAGGGAAAAAAATGAAATGCTGGAAAGAAGCAATAAATTAGAGGTACATCCACAAAGACACCAAAAACAACAATTAGGTACTTACTGTGTAAATGCTCAAAGAGTGTGCCATTTGGAGCATATTCAAAAACCATCATCCTAGTAAAAGGCTCGTCTTCCTCACAGTATCCAAGAAGGTTGACAAAATTTTTGTGGTTCACTTTTGATAATGTGTCAATCTGAAACCATAAGCAGAGAAATAGTTAGACAGGCCAAAAGAATTCATCAAGCAGGTGTATCAGATGGGATTTTTCAGTAGAATACCTTCTGTCTGAACTTTGTTTCTAAATTCTTTGACCAATCTTTGGCATATTTCACTGGGACAGAGGCCACAGCTATTTCAACCCCATTAGACAGTGTCCCTTTGTACATAGTGCCAATTGTTGAAGAGCCAATTACATTGCAGAAATCTTCACAGGCTGCTTCAAGCTCTGATCTCTTCAGCTTTGGTACACCTGAAATGCAAGTAATTGATCATATATTACAAATATTCTGGCAGAAACTAAAAGATGTACACTTTGTCTCTTGGATAAGATATCAAATCAACAACAGATGCATCAAAATAAAACAAATTAAGGTCCCTTTTCCTCTAATTTAGCTGCATATTTGGGATGATACTTTTTTATAAATGACCTGTAAGCTATGTTGCCAGCCAAATAGAAGTCATGCAATGACAATTTATCATTCTAAGAAGACTTTTGTAGTTTTTAGGTCATAATGAATTAAACTAAAATCTCAACTATTGTTCTATGTCCTTTATTCAGCAACTGTTTTAAGTTGAATTGAAAACAGTAATATAATCTGAAATCAAGAAAGATTTTAAAATTATATCTACTGTCTAATTTTGTGGTGGAGCAGAAGAATTACCAGTTACAAATACTTTCTGAAGCTGCCCGCTTAGCCCTGTGGCCCAAGGTTTCACGGTAGATACCTTCAAAGTTTTAAAGAGATAGGAAATGATAAGTAATATTAGAAGAAATATGGAACCCCCTATGAGTCCAGCCAGTATTGCAGTTCCATGTTTTGAACTAGAATGAAAACTTGAAGGATTGCTTCCTGAAGGGTATGGAGCAGAGACATTAGGTAATACTGTATTATTTTCAGATGGGGAAGGAGCTGGAGCAAAGGAAGGTCGTTGAACAGGAGCATCTCTTGCAAATGTACGAGTGGAAGGTTCAGCAGATGCAGAAGGAGTCAGAAATTGAGGTGCATGAGAAGGAGACAAAGGTATATTAAAGTTTAAAAAGGGGGCTTTTGGTGACTCTGCTGGAATGTCAGGTATTTCTTGCAGCAGTCTCCTTTGCACTGCATCTTCGGATTGGCCAGCATTCCTAGAAGAGACATAATGAAGGATTAAATAATAAGAACACATAATCACAAAGAAACTGCCAAAGAAAAAAAACAACATAGCTAATTATCACTATAGTTGAAAATTTTCATGACAATTACATCTATTTGATCCAGCCAAAGTATTTTTTATATTTTGATTTTTTTTTTTTGTGAAACAGATATAAACAAACATTTTCCATACAACTTTATCCAATTTAAAATATTAAAAGTAGACAAATTCCTAAGTGGCTCTAAAAGGTGTCTGAGAACAATGAACAATATGATGCAACTAAACTTGTTCAACGATGCTTATTTCTATATTTTTACTTGTTAGACCTAGTCATATGAGAATGGCTTTTACTCCAATATGCTGGCATACCATGAATTGAATCTTTTCTTGCAAGATAATTTAGCAGCGATAGATAGTTGATTTTCATCCACTTGAGTTTCTGAAAGCTTCTGAAGTTCATAAATTTCAGGAGAGAAACTACTGAGAAACTCATTATTGTCCAGTAAACTGCAATATAGGCATAAAATAAGTTATTATACTGTTTGAGAGAGAACCTCCGGGAATGAGAACTGAATTGTTTGACACCATTGACTTACAGGATTGTTAGTGACAGATTGCTACCAAGTTCAGGTGGAAGTGGTCCACTGAACTTATTGTATCCCAAGTCCAACACCTCTAATTCCTTGAGTTCTCCTATCCCTTCTGGGATAATTCCAGTAAAAGAGTTGTTGCGCAAAATACTGTAGAAGAAACAATGGCATCGGGATTTTGCAACGAAGAAAGAGAATGGGGAAACTTAAAGAGATTGTCAAGCAACCATCTAAGAAGGAACTTTGCTTTTGACATCAACAATCAGATAAAGAAGTCATAGGCGCATACATAGACTTAATGTGAACTAGAGTTCCAAGCTCAGGTGCCAATGTTCCTTCAAGACCAAGATCTTTCAAGTTCCTGCATTTTATTCCATCCATGAAATTTTAGAACAAATTAAAGGAAATTAGCTATCACATTTTGCATATCCTGAAGTGTATAAAGTTAAACCTGACAAAGAAAAGACTGCTATTTCAATTAATTCTCCACCTTATATGACAAATAATTATTGGATAAAGTCTAATGTTTTTATCTGCAAATATTTAAAAAAAAAAAAATCATCTACTTAAATTCCCCATTTCACAATTCAAAAAGAACATACTATTACTCACTAGAGAAGAGATTGAAATTTGCAAAATTGGAAATCAAAGTTCAATTTAAATATTATGACTATGCTTGATAATCATATCTCAACTAACCTCTCCAATCCAAAACTAAAAAAATTACTAAAGACTTGAGATTTTAATTCTTTCTCCTTTATTTTCTCGGCAACCAAACAGCATCCACCAAAAAAAAAACCAACGTTGTACAAGAAAAAGTAAGACAGAGAAAAGAAAAGAAAACTTACAAAACAACAACTTTGCCATCAGAGCACTCGACACCAAACCAAGAACAATGGTCAACCTCTCCATCTTCTTCCTTCCAATTCGATAAACCACCAAACGGATCATTAACGACTCTCTCTCTCAATCTCAACAACGCCAATCCTGCATTCATTACTAATCATCTTTCTTCTTCCACTTTTCCAAGAAACAAACAAAACCCAAAACTTGAAAGCAAAAAAAAAAAAAAATTACCTTCTTCGTTCAACGACCAACAAACCAAACTTTGACATAACAAAAACAGCACGACACCAACTCCAAACTCCAGTCTTAATCTTACAAACTTCCTGCTATTGTTCATGATCATCGTCTTCTCATTTGAGAGAGCTTAGCTAAAATAAAAACCAGAAAATTTTCACTGGTTTGGAAGAGAACACGAAGCTGAGTCAGAGGCTGAATCCAACACGATACCGACGAATTTAGACTTCAGACAATTTTCCTCCCTTTCTATTTGTTTGGGGTTTGAAAACGCGTACACTCAAGGACTGAACCACATGAACCTTTTTTACGTCTATCCATTCGAAATTTCTGTTTTATTTCATTTTTTAACCGCGGTAAAAAGAAAAGGTTCATTTTTTCTTTGATCTCATTGGTTAGACATGATAACTCATATTTTAATATTTGTTTTGTATCATGTATAATAATATAAATTATTAAAATATTAATATAATATAAATTATAAAATATATTTAAATCTTAAATATAAATACGATTTATTTATTTTTTGCATTATGCGTAACATAATATAATTAATATATGTATAATTAATTCATATAAAAATGACACGAATAAATACGATTAATATAGATATATAAATAAATATAATTAACATGAATATATAAAAAATGATTATAATAATAAATAATTATAAATAATTTATAATTTAATAAAATTGAAATATTAATAATATAAAAAATACTTGCATGTTAAAAAATAAAAAAAATTTAATATCCATTTAATATGCATTTAATATATATTTTTAAAATTTAAAATATATTACATAATTATATTAATGTTTAGTATCGAATTTAAAATGATAAATTATTAAAGATTAAATAATAAAATAAATATGTATAAGATTAATATTAATATTTATATTATTAATATAAAAAATTTATAATAATTATTAAATAAGTATCATAATTTAATATTTAAAATAATTTTAAATAATATTAAATAACTAATTAAGTATTATAATTAAAAAATTAAAAATTAAAATACTTTTTATATGTTTATATTAAATTAAAATAAATATAAAAAATATGTTAAATATATTAAATATATACTTATAAAATAAATTAAATTAAATATATTATTCATATCGTATCACGAATTTAAATATAATAATAGATATGAGATATGAATTATGTAATATTAAAATATGTATTGATATAAATAAATATTAAATATATAATTTTTTTATTATTTTTATATTACATCATTATATTGTATATAAAATTATCGTATCTAAAGTCAAGGCTGTGGTAAAAAAAAAAAAAAAGACTAAAGGAGGAGAGGAGTCGAAAGATTAAAAAAAATAAAATGGCAATTGTGTACCGAGTCTTTTCCGTATCTTGGTGAAAAAGGTGTTGGGTGGGTCCAAGGCTGACTGGGCATGTATTTGATTCTAAATTAAAGATTTTTTTATGTTGATTTAAAATATTTTAATAAAATTATTTGTTTTTTAATTTTTAATTTACACTTAATCTTCTATTCATATTTATTCAGCTCACGAGAAGACATTTCTTAACTCGTAATTTTTATAAATTTGATCAAAATATGTCATTCAAACAATTGATGCATTCAATTCAAAAGTTTAGGGAGTGCTTTGATTTAACCTTAATATATATTGCCCAAGTAATTTGATTTGTTAATAGCAAGAAGCCGTAATATCAACAAGTGTTTTTCTTTGAAAATGAATTTCAAATACCGTCAAATATACCTATGATTATGGAAATTGCTTGGGACAAGGAAAATAAATTAATAAACAGTTGGAATTTTATACGTGCAGTTAAACTTTGTAGGACAAAAGAGCTATATGGTCCACACGCTTGTTGTATACACAAAAGTAGATGCAATGAGTGGGAAATGGGTCAGCCCATGTGGGAGTGGGCTATACGGGGGTGCTGCTACCGACCGACATGCTGTAAATTTTTGTTTTCTTTTTAATATCGAAGGTAATTCAAATTTGTTTATTGAATGAATAAAAATACATCTCGGAATAATTAAAAAAATTAAAAAATACATCATGTATCATTGAATCAACTATTTTCTTAACCAAGCAACCAAAATTTTGTTCCAGAACTTTTCTTTTGGAAAGATGAATTTTAAGATAATGAATTTCATTTGTTATTTAAATTGCGAGAATGAAATATATAAATGTATAAATAATAAAAAAAAAAAACTGCTGACATTAAAAATCGAATAGCAATGATTTGATGAGTTAGTGCATAAAGTCTAAACCTAAACCCCAATAAAAAATAGACTATCAATTTATCTACCTCTTCAAGGAATAATTATAAGCATTAAATGAAATTAATTAAAAACATGTGATCAGCAGGCGACATATAATAAAGCAAAGGGAATATCGTAAGTAGTAATTGACATAGCCAATATAGATATTAATTAAGATTAAAAGTTTAGTTAAATGTTTCTTAATTTCTTGTAGCAAGTTCATACGTACACTACACATATTAATTGGTGTTAAAGTTAGGTGTTTTAATAAAATTTAACAATTGGAAATTTAATTAATTTACCATATTAAAAGGTTAAATCTGGGTTTCTCATTCCCTCTACATATATATATTTAATAAAAAATTTTCGATAATCTATACATCTTTAATCACCACGCCAGGAAATGAATACCAAAGATCTCTAATCACTAGAATTCTTTTTTTCAAAAAAATTATCTAAAATATTCAATTAAAAAAAAAAAAGAAAATTTCTCTTCATAATATAGTATAGGTTTTTTTTTTTTCCTGTAACATTTAATAATATATATATATATATATATTATTGGTCGACCATTTTGATGTGATAAATGAAGTACAGATAAAAGTCATGTGGCTCCCTCCTCCACATATTGCATACATTTGAGAATTGAGATCAAATTTTTGGTTCTTCTTTCAAATTAAGAAAGAAAAAGGGGGAAATAAAGAAGAACAAAGAAAAAAGATCGAGTGAGAAAAGGGAAACATTGAAAGAGTCAATGAAATAGTTTGGTGTTGATAGGCTCGATTCTTTAGTATACCACATGCTCATAGCTTATTATTCAAGTCAATAAAATATAAATATAAAATATCTATATTTGTATTTATATATTAAGCTCATGATATATTTCGTCTTGTATCCTAAAACATTAATGGCTAGCTGGGTCATGGTCAGACTCGGTCACGACACCCCCATTTCCTTCTCTTTGTAAGGTGCATGGTGGGAATCTCTATATCTATAATGTTCATGTGGGTTTGCTTTATGGTGTCCATCAATAAATTAAATTTTCATTAACGAATACCAAGATAAAAGTACAACCAACATGAGCATGATGTTGTGCTTTCACGAAAAAAGAAAAAAAGAAAAAAATAAATATTAATTTCATACTCAAATATTTGGTTCTCAGTATAACCAAGATTTCATTTGATTTAACATTTTAAAGATTCTTATGATAATCTTTTAAGGGGTGAGAAGAGTGAAAATAAATATCCTTCAAGGGTTTTTTTTTTTTTTTTTTTATTTTGGCAAAAACTTTTCTTTTATTAGTTTAAAAAGTAAGAACACGGATATCCTCAAACATAATTGATAATTGTTTTTATTTTGAATAGAGTTTGTCTCAAATTATGAAAGTTGTAGTAAAATTTGGCATAGGTAAAACAGTAAAGTCAAAATGATCATTTTGTACATGTATTTGGTTTGGAGGATCAGGATGAGAAGTGAAGAATTCATGTTATCCACTTTTTTATTTGTCCTTTTAAAAATAATGTAGACAGTTTCCAAAACTAGAGAAAGGTTTTGTTTTCTGATCACTTGTCGACAAAGTCAGAGGGTTTCACCTTCCCTGTAAAATTAAGTTTTGAATTGAGGGCCCTTTAAGAAAGGTTCAAATATAGTTCTTAATTAAAGATTAAAAGACACCAAATAAACAATAGATTAGATAATAATCCATAAAAATTAACTATTAACACCCTTTCCATGAAGATCTTGTTAATCAATGATACAGATTAAATCGTATTAGCATGCTAAAATAATCAAATAACAAAAAAACTAGTAGAATCTTCTCAAAAGGAATATCTCTATGATTTGTCATTCGAGGCGGCATTGGACGAAATCATCAACTTTTTTTTACCTTTTCCTACTTAAATCATCAAGTGTTTTTTTTTTACCTATCCTTCAGTGGTGCAATTTTTACATTTTACTGGATGAATCTTGAAACCCATAATTATATTACTAAGTGCTAATAAGCTGTGGAAATTGCATCTTGTTTTCCTCCAAAAACGAAATTAGCATTTCCCTCTTTTATAACGTCTACTTTAGCAAAAGCCAGCCAGAAACGCATTGTTTCTCAACTAGACAGTCTTCAAACTAGGGATTGTTTGAGATTCAAACGGAATGCACGTGACATAGAATAATTAATTATTCTTGTATTACATGGCAACATGAAAAAATGGAAATTACTATTCTTGCTTTGCCATATCTTGCTTGGCAGCATTAACTACCTAATATTGTGCAGATAAGAAACCATGCTACTAACATGTTAACAAATATACATGCTTTACTTTAATGTTCAAAAGAGCTAATAAAATACCAATGAAACTAAATGGTTGAGAGAATGTTCTAAAATCTTGAGATACTAATTTTAAGTTTTATTTTGTGTGAATTTAATTGTTTAATTATATTTAAGTTGTTAATTAATTATTTAAAATTATAATTTAATTATAATATAATAATTAATTATTCAATTGATTACATTAATGTAATACTAAATGATATTTGAAATTAAAAAAAAGAGCTAATAAAATATTTTGGTTTTAGATTTCTCAATTTAATATTTGAACTTAGCTGTTTGCAATAACCTATAAACTATATATAAAAAGCATCTCAAAAAACTTTAGAAATAGACAATTGTATTTCATAATAAAATGATTATATTAACCTTTGATTAAAGGATTTAAAAAACAAATATGATGGCAGCAAAAGGTAAGGCCATTTTTTTCTTTTTTTAATGAAAGGGGTTGGCCCATTATAAGTAACCCAATCTAATTGAAAAAATAAATGGTTTATTTTTATTATTTTTTAAAAACATTTTGAATTCATTAGAAATTTTTTTTTTAACTTTTATTTACATATATTTATTTTGAGTTTATATTTATACATTGTCAGTATACATTTTATATATTATTAATGAATTAAATGATGATAATTCATTAATAAATAAATATAAACTCTTAAGTACACAAATTAAAATAATTTACTCATTAATGAAATATTATTATATGATTTACCTTATTAATATGTTATCACTATCTGATTTATTGATAATATATAAATTTTATATACTAATAATATATTAAATATAAATTTATTTATTTTATTTGTTACTTCAAATAGCAAAGATAGAATCAATATCATCAATAACATTAAGTTAAAGTTATCTCTATTGAATCTAAAACTTTTATTTAGATTTTTTAGCTTTAATTTTTAAACAATTAATACTTGTCATAAATAATGATTTGAAGTTTGAGGGTTAATTAAGGTATAAAATTATATGAGTGTAGTTCAATTTGGCTTTGTTGTTATTTTTATGCTTTTTAGTTATTTGTGTTTTTCTTACATTAGAAATTAAAAAAGGAAAGAGTTTTATGAAAAAATAATTATTTTGTGATTATATTTATTATGTAATTTATAATAACTAATATTAATAATATTAAAACATATAAAAAATAAATATTATTTAAATAAAAAATTAACATTTAATTTAATTTAAATTATTTTTAAATATTAATTAAATAATTAAATATTAAAAAAATCTTCAACTGTTTGATTTTTAAATTAATGTTTGTCGAAATATCTAAGTTGAAACATTTAGAGTTAATAAATCCATTTCCTAAACTAATGATTCCTAAACTAAGGTTAGCAATTCAAAAAAAAAAAAAATCCTTGACAAATGTTTGATGAAATATGAAAAATGTCATAAAGATTTAAAAATATTTGATGTTTTCGACCTGAAATTCATCCTATTTAAAAAAAAAAGACCAAAAAAAAAAAAAAGAGAGAGAGTACATGATAATTTTGAAAGTAAATAATAATTATTCCAATGATGAAATTTTTAAAAATTACAAATAATTTATTTTTTTAAAAAAATTTTTTATATGATTTTTTTTAAAATTTGATTCAAATAATAAAAAAATTTAGATAAAATTTTAAAAAAAATTATATTTATTTTTAAGTCAATACATTTGTATTATATAATTTACAAATAATTATTTTTATATATTTAATTTTTTAATTAATAAAATATAATTATATTCATATCAATATAATAAAATTCTTCAACGAAGCAAGGGGCATAAACTAGTATCAATAAAAACATTCATATGTACATTCCCAAATACTACTAGTAAAAAATATATTCTAGTAAAAAAAAAAACACCATGGGGATTCCCCTAACCGTGTTTTAACATCCCAAAAGCTTAAAGAAAATAAAATTGCCTGATTTTTTTTCGTTTTATTAATCTAATTTTTTTAATACTTATTGATCTGATTTTTTTAAGCTAAGAAAAAGAAAAGCAAATTCGATGGTGACTGGGGCTGCGAGACGGGCACCTAATCAGACCGTTAGCGTTGCAATCGGCATAACTTCGAAACCCAGATTTTTCAGAGTAGATCTTATGCTACCATTGCATCGGCGACAGAGAACAAATCTCAGCCCTTCGCATAAATCACAGACACTGGACTCCACCACCAATCAGCTTCTTCAGTTCTCCACACTCATGTAACTGTTTGACTTCCTCGGCCCCACCGATGTACCTCCCACCAATGAAAACCAACGGAAGGGTAAAACTTTTACGCCCAATGATCCCCTGCAGCTCGTTTAAAAAATTAGAATACAATGACAAGTCTCGTTCGTCGATCGGGACACTGAATCCTCGGAGGATTGATCTGACGATCTTGCAATCTTCGAAGGTCTTACGAATGACGCGGAGGCTGGTGAGGTACACGATGACGCGGTGATCAGCGTTGGGGAGGGTAATGGACGGCTGGGATGAAGGGGGAGCATGTCGGTGGGCCCAGGCGCGGAGGACGGAGGTTGAGAGCTTGACACGGTGGAAAATGGAGGATCTTTTGGGGGATTAAGGATAGCGTTAATGTCTTTGAATGAAGAGAAAGTGAAATGGGAGGGTGATTTTATGGAGTTTCCCCTGCTTGGTGATCTTAGCCACTGGGGAAACATTTGGAGATAAAGGGAAGGGAAAAAGGGTGAGATTTGGACTTGGGACAGAAATTGAGGGGGTACTTTAAGGTTATAGGGTTATTTAAAATAAAATGTGGGGTTTTGAGTTGTTTTGAGTTAAATTGCAATTGCTATTAAGGAAACCCTAGTTGGGGGAGGAGCTGAGGCTGAGATTAAGGGATTCAGATTCTCGCCTTTTTGTGTAACAATGACTTGATTTCTACTCTTTCTATATCAGACTACAAGAAAATGGGGGAGTAACGGGTATTTGGCCATTTGGGCGGTTTTTCATAGTGTATGTATTAGTTACTGAGTTAGGGTTGGCTGATGAAAAGAGAAATGAAGATATTGGCTCACTTAAATCTGCCAGTTGTAAGTGTCTTTTTTTTATAATCTGCCAAACATAACTTGTGCAAAAACTTGGAAAATGGGATTTTGCTTTGAAAGATAAATATTTAGTATTACTTTCAATTACCAGATCCAAAAAATGACAGTTCAAAGGCAAAAAGTTCAATTATGAAATAAGTACAGGGCATAATTTTGTGTTATTCCCTCTATATCTTTAACAAGAGCAAAACATGGAAGAAAAAAGTCGTAAGGCAAATAAAGGATTAGGGTTGGGAACTCCGAAATAAAGTTAAGAGTTAAGAGCCGCTATAAAGTCAACAGAAGAAAGAAGAAAACAGAACAAAAAAACAACACTAATAATTCTTCATTAAAACTAGCGTTACGAACCTTGTGTCACATCTTTGCTCCTTTGGAGATGAGAATGTCTCCGAATGGGTCCTCTTGTTCCACTCTTAAGAAACCTTGAGAAGCAAGAACTGCAAAAAAGTTGGTCACTGATCTCAGTTTCCTCATTAATTCAGATTCTTATTTGACACTTCTAAGGTAATTAAAGTCGGAGCAATTTCACTACATAGCCAGAGGAAATAGATCGTATGTTTGTGTACCACAAATCTGGTAGAAGAGCTGAGCTGCTCCTTTTCTGCTGAGTCCAGCTGCTAAGTTGTTTAGCGATTCTACTTGAGGGGCTCCTGGAGTTTCAAAATGTGTTTTCATATGCCTGCAGCCAATTAAGTTGCACAAAGTTGATCAGACAAGTGCAAAGTTAATATTGGGCTTAAAAGGATGAATATAAAGGAAATATACTTCCTGATGTTCTCAGTCATTTTGTCTGGAGGATCATTCGCAGGAGTTTCCCTCGTAAGTTGAGTTTCCACCAAGAATTCTGAAAAAAGTAAATAAAGAAATGGAGTTGTTAATTACCATATTGGATGAAGAGGCAATTCCTGTGATTATAGGCTTATAGCTGCTATGGCAAAATAGAAGTTGATGATTTCTTTACCTTGATCAGGTGCCAAGTTTTTCTTTTGTGACCTTGATAACTTGTAATCGGTATCAGCTTCATGAAACACTTCAACCACTGTGTCAAGGCTGCCACTGTTTCTCGAAGTTGATGGCACATTGTTCTTGGACCTAACCCTAAAAGTTAATCACAAGTTTTTTCACAGGTCTCAGAACTCTGATTACCCACCTAGACATATTGCTCATGTCCTGTATAAAATTTTTTCTACCTTCTAATTTATTTTGGGATAATTTTTACTTACCTTCCAATATTTACTTCTAAGTTATTTAAGGGGACTCCATCTCCAGATACTGAGCTTCCGCTGTATCTTAGTGCATCTCCTGCAAAATGACATGAAGCTTAACTGATAAACTGTCTGTCCATAATTAATCTCATTTGATAACCTCAAAATGTCTCCAAACAGAAGAGAGACATAAAACATGTAGAGAAAGATTTTTCATACCAGAGTTTCCTGGGGTGACAAACTGATTGGTTCCCACTGGAGTCACCTTATGTACCACAGTTGTTCGCTGTAACTCTATGGTAGCATGAGATGGGGAACCAACTCCACTGTGAAGATCTTCAAAAGGCTTCACATTCTAAACTCAGTCAGACATAGGGGCACAAATGTATTTCCTGGAAGCAAATTAAAGATCAGATGCGAGACTTACGTAATCCATTGGATAATCAGACTGTACTCTTTCCGGAGGAGATGGATCTGGGGGTTGTGGTTGTGAGGTCCTCACTGTGTACGGTATAATATAGATTAACTTCCCTTCATTATCTCCACAAGAACTTAAAAAGCATGAATCAGTGAATTCTAACCAGAGGGTGATTCACGGTGAGGTTGTGTGCTTTTCTTCCAGAGGTCCAAAAGTGGTGCTGGGTAAGGGATTTCTTGATTTCCTTTCACAAACATATCATCCATTAGTACAGTAGATGGGAACTCCATGAGCTTAGCTATCTTCAAAGTCCACAGGATATTTGTGCGCCTCTGCAACATTTACAGCGTAAAAACCTTATGTTACATCAATGATTCTTGAAATGATTGTTTTCTTAGGATAAAACTTTTACTCCCCATGAATTCTTCTGATATATGTGGTTCGGAATAATGCGTTGGAAATATTTGCTCATGGTGTAAGTTAGTGGCTAACCAAGTAATCTGGGTATGCAACATAATTATGCTAAATCTGAATGGGATATATTGCAAATATGCAGGTCATACCCTTTTCTTCCTTCCTCTTCTTGATACAATATCTGAAGTGTCATGAAGCCAGGAGTGATATACATGGCTAGGAATAATAGTTTGCTCCTCATCTATGATAATTCCTTTGGCTTTTCTCGCCTTTCGTTTTAATGGCCCCTGCCTCTTTTGTTCCTGCTTCCTCAAGGAGAATAACAATAGCAAAGGTTTTGTTTTCGTCTGATTTTTTGCATAATTGTTAGTAAAAATTACTAATGCTTACTCTGTCTTCTTTGTTTCTATTAAATTGTTGATCTAATTGGTGCTCCAGATGCTGCTCTTGGGTTTCTTCAGCTGCAATCATTCTCATTCTTAGTTTGCTAAATGGAAAATAACATAAATGATACAGAAAGATTACTGATGTTAGAAAAACTTTCATTTGTTTTAATTTAAGCACAGGAATACTTTCATTTTTTTTTCCATTTTGATGGTTAATAATACAGAAAACCAATTAGTGAGCTTATATAAAAGGAACTCATTTTATGTCAGATAATTTATGCTGAACAGCAGTTATCTATGACAACAAATCTTCAGAAATTTCATGTGCACATTACTTGGATCTAAAATCTAGTAGAATGGTTTATTTACAAATATTATTCCGCAGTCATGCCAAAATGGTTTAAAACTTTTAAGTGAAAGCTTCATCATCTTTTTCAGATTTCTAAATCATTCCCTCTAACATACAAAAACTAAAAGCATACACAACTTCAGTTGCAGTATTCTCAAACATCTAAGCCATTATAGTACTCTAACCTCTTTGAGGCCCATCTTGCCGGGCTGGAGAAGGAAGAAGCAGTTGGTATCTGTATATGCTCTTCTAAAGTGAAGTTTACTTGTGTCCCCTCGTCACCTTCTTCAAATCTGTCACAGAAATTAGAAAAATTGAGGAATTATTCAGTCCACAGACACCATGGTGAACTATTAACTAAAACCTTTGCCAGTTACAGATACGCAACCCATGGAACTAGGTTTTTAAAGTTACCTTTCAAATTGACCATGAGTATCTGTATTAGGCTGAAATAAATTGAATAAGGTGATGTCGTTATCATCAGCTGTGGGAAAGAGAGCGAAAGTGGTGATTTATAGTACTAAAGATGAATATTCTCAGTGTACATGTTCAAAATTACCATCTAAGAGAAAAGTTCAGGGGTAATAGAAAACCTTGGTGGTGTTCATGGGTGAGATTATCCTCCATGGGATCATTGGTAATATAGTAGTCATCGACCTGGTCAAGTTGCTGTTCATCAATAAAGGTAAAAAATTATTAGTCCCAAAATTGAATTCTAAAGGATTCTGATAACAACTGCTTTGTGTCAATAATGTAGAAAAGCTTTGTTCCGAGTGGGTCAAAACTTATAAGTTCTTCTAAAAGCAACCGCATTTGCCTTAGCAATTCACTCACTTAATCTCGGTAATGAAGGATGAACAGATTAAAGATTAGAAGACTAAGCATGGTGGGTCAGAGAACGGTATTTGCCAAATGAAAACAAAAACGGAGATATTAGGGTAGATCAGGTGGAAGCAATTATCTAAAAAATATGTATGAAGTATGAACTGTAAAATTGGAAAACAAATAGTTGCATGGCTTGTGGCTATGTTTCAAAAGGAAGAAATCAAGAATAAGAACAAAAGGTTAGAAATGAGCTTTAGCAAATGGGAAAAAGTCCAAACTTATTATTAGCATGCTTTGCTAATTTATAGGACACAATTTTTACCCTAGTCTGGATTGGAAAAAGTCCACACTTAATAATTGAAGTCAAGCTTCACTCAAGCCAACCCAATTAGCATCCTAACCCCACTAAAACAGTCACCAGGCAAAGTAAAAAGTCTTGGAAAGCAGAATAAATTTAATTAAAAACCATGAATTATCACAAGGTTGTTTAACCATATTTTCAAGATCTTAAGTTAACTCCCCAAATCACAGCCAACTTACCCTTATATATATATATATATATATATATAGACACACACACCATATATATAACAGAATTATGTAAATTCATCAAACATCTCTCCAGCAGGGGCAGGGCAAACACTAATTAACCATCACAGTTTAAACTGGCTAAACCTAGTGGCAGAGTAAATAACACATTTATAACAGTTGTTCTTTTTTCAAATAAAATACACTTACCTAAAAAAGAAATAGGGTTTATTTTACGACAAATTTACCATCTTAAAATTGTTCTGTGGAAACCTCATGGAGGTTTCTTCTTCAGGTTCTCCAACATTAGTGTAGCCCATGGAGGTTTCTTCATTTTCAGGTAGTGTGATGGATTTTCTCCTGAAAACAATGGAGACAATTAGGCAGAATAACCCAAAAATCCGATCTCTTCAAATGTTCTTATTTATTTATTTAAAGAAAGAGTACATAAAAGATATTTTACGTGGCCTTTGCTTTTCTTTTAGGGAGTAGAGTTGGCTCTTCCAGCACCTTCCATGCTTTCCTTATTTCAGCCTCAAATCACCCAAACAAAATCATACCAGTTTAATCAACAGAATCGAATTTACTCATTGAAGAAGAAAATTAGAGGAAAAAAACAAGGAAATTATCCTGTGCTTTCCAGGTACCAGAAGCCGATTAGCATCATCTGTTAACCAAAGCAAGAGCATTAAAACCACAGTAAAATAAAGGGTAAATATTAAAATTGTAAGTTACAGCGAAAAATTACAAAAAAAAAAAAAGGTCCAAAATTATTTTACCATGAAGAAACGTCACTTTTTTCTCGTAGAGAATCACAACTCCACCTTGAGAGAATAATGAGAAAATTATTGAAATTAATAAAACTGAGTTTGGAAATTCAGAAAAGTTCAAAAAAAGGTGGAAAAAGAGAAATATTACCCATGAGAATGCTGGAGAGTCGAAGAGCAATTGGGACCGGAGGATTTAGAATCTCTTCACTGTTAAAAATTAAAAAAAAAAAAAGGAAAAGGAAAAGAATCTGAGTTTGTTAAAATACAAAATAAGGCAAGAAAAAGAAATTGAAATGACTGAAAAGGAAAATAGAAAACCAGAGTCGAGCTACGTCGAGCTTGTTAGCTTTCCTCCGATCGAGCTTTGCCTGTTTAGTCCCAAGCAACCTTAATAAACAAAGGGAAAAAAAAACATAGCATAAAAACAGAAAGGGATATTAGAGCAAAATTTTCAAGGAAAATAAATCAAAAATGGCGTCGACAAATGAGACAATAAATCGTAAAGTAGAATTAATTGAAACTTAATTTTTAATTATTTATGTTTCACATATAAATAATGAATACGTAAAAGAAATACTTATCATTCAAAAAAAAAAATGTAATTGGAAACTTCTTTTTCAAGTGACTTCCAACGAATTCAAAGAAGCAGAGCAAACTAATGGAAAAAATGCTTCGTTAATGGTGTTCTCTTATCGAGAGAGAGTTTAATTATTCTAATTTTTCAGAGAGATACTTCCTTTTCAGAGAAATATCAATAAAAAATGAATTGAAAAAACGAAAAGAAATAGAGAAAGATTACCATATTTGGCCAAGAGAAGCTTTGCGAGCAAGGAGCTCTCTAGAATAAAACATTTTGTTTTTCTTTTTGTTTTTCGGTTTTTTAAAACTTGAAAAGAAATTAAAACTGAGAAAAGAAAGAAGCAGAACTTTGTTAATGGATTTTTTGAGAATGGAAGAGAGCTTTTCTTTTGGTTTGGGTGAGAGCTAAAAAGAAATTGTTATTTTCATTTGTGCGCAGCTGAATATAAAGACGCCATTGTAGAGAACCGATTTGCGCGGGTCGCTATTGCATGCAAATGATGCAATGAGTGTTAGAGCAGTCTTTAACGTTACAAATGGGTGCATGAAAATTTTTGGTGCTACATTTTCTACCTACCAAAACAGATTCTTTTTTTTTTCTTTGGCTAATACTCAAAAACTGATTGGAGAAAGGGAAAATAAAATAGAATGGCCAGTTAAACGGTGCGTTTCTTACCCATTACTACTCTACTCTGTCTCGGTTGTTTGTACTCCTTCGTTCCAAAATATTTGTTTGTATTAATTTTTATGAGGTTTTAAAAAAACTTTTAATTTTAATATATTTAATATTAAAATTTAAATTTTTTATAAAATTAAGATTTCATGATTTTTAATGTCAAAAAGTTAAAAAAAACATAAAAATAATTTTAAAATATAAAAAGTAAGAGTTTTAGATATTTAAAAAATAAAATAAAATATAATTTTGAAATATATAAAAAATAGATAAAGAAAATGGGAAATGAGAGTATTTATTATTTTTAAAAATTTTTATAAGTATTTTGTATCTTCGTCAGATATAAATTCCATTTTATAGAGTTTTTAACTGGAATGCATTAAAAAAAATTTTAAAAATATAAAAATATATTTAATATATTATCAATCGAGTTTTTTAATTTCGACGTTAACATATCTTACCTTTTTAATTAGCATTTTTTATAAAATATTTAAATATACTTAATAAATATGTTCCACTTAATATATTTATGGAATTAAAAAAATTATACTAATAATTTTTTTTAAATCACTTTATTTTTGCAATTTTTGATAGCCCAATAGTATGGGCCTACTAGGTATGGGTTGTGCTTTCAGTTTGTTCAAATGGTCGAGTTCTTATTTAAAGTGAGTTAGTGTCACGGATTTAAGGGGGAGTCTTGAATCTCACATCGAACATAATAGAAAGGTCACTGGGGTATATAAAGGTTCACACCATCTCTTCCTTGTGAGGCGCCTTTTGTAGGACAAAATCATGAGGTCAGAGGGGGCCAGAGCGGACAATACCTCACAAGGGTGTGAACCGTGGCGGTCAGGCTGATACCACTTGTCACGGGTCGAGACTCAAGCTCCGAACCCGCGCGGCTCCGGGACCCGGGCATTCACCCTTCCGGCATCCCGAATCAGCCTGACCGTCACGGTTCACACCCTTGTGAGGTATTGTCCGCTCTGGCCCCCTTGACCTCACGATTTTGTCCTACAAAAGGCGCCTCACAAGGCGGAGATGGTGTGAACCCTTTTATACCCCAGGGACCTTCCTATTATGTTCGATGTGGGATACAGGACTCCCCCTTAGGTCCGTGACATTCTCTCGCACCCAATCTCGTGACGCCCTCGTCACGGAGGCTGGCCACCCTGTCTACCTCCCTCGAGGTGCTTGGCGTGGATCGAATGGTTTAGGGTTGGCTCTGATACCACTTGTCACGGGTCGAGACTTAAGCTCCGAACCCGCGCGACTCCGGGACCCGGGCATTTACCTTTCCGGTGTCCCGAATCAGCCTAACTGCCACGGTTCACACCCTTGTGAGGTATTGTCCGCTTTGACCTCCCTGGCCTCACGATTTTGTCCTACAAAAGGCGCCTCACAAGACGAAGATGGTGTGAACCCTTATATATCCCAGTGACCTTCCTATTATGTTCGATGTGAGATTTAGGACTCTTCCTTAGGTCCATGACACTAGGACTTGGGAGTTTTATACCCTTTGGGATTCATACACTGACAAACACTCAAAATACATAACTGAGTTCCTAAACGTATCATATTTTTACTTTTCACATTTTATTTTTTTTTTAAATTTTGTTAAATGAAGTTATTCAAATATTTTTGAAAAGTTATAAAATTCACCGGATATGGATATTAAAGGGTGTAAAATTTTAACAAAAATTAAAAAAAAATTATTAATTAGTGCAATGAAAAAATTATTATTAGAAAAAAATAAAAATTTTAAAATTAATAAAAAAAATTTATTAACTATTTTGATCTTAAAGAAAGAATAAAATATTATGAGATTTTAATTAAATATTTTATTTCTTGATATTACGAAAGGTAATGAAAGGAACTATCAAGTCTGACAATATATAAGAGCTGAAATTTTTAAAAACTCTACAAGTAATACTATTACTACTAAATATTATATAATTTTGTAAAAATATAATATGTTAATTGGAGAAGTCCATCGTGATAAGTGATAAGTAGATGGAGAAACGTTTCCAATGAATTTAGTTTAGTTACCTATTATAAAATTTTAATAATCAATACAAAAAAAAATTTATAAAAAAAATTATATTTATTATTTTATCTTTAATTTAGTTAGGGCTTCATAAGATTTTATTCTTTCTTTAAGATTAAAATAATAAAATTAACTTTTTTATTAATTTTAAAGTTTATGATTTTTTTAATAGTAACTTTATTCATTACACTAATTCATAAAATATTTTAATAAAATTTTTTTTTTTTTTTTTTAAATTTCACTTACTCCCTTACAAAAATGGATTTTCGAAAAGTTATAATTACTTTTTGAAAATCTATTTCCAATAAGTTATATTACATTTTTGAAATAGATTTATGAAAAATCATAAAACTTATCAAATATAGATATCTGAAAACTTAAAAGAATGGTAATTAAGTAATTTTACTTACAAAAAATTTTGAAAACAAAAGTAAGGATATGAAAAGCAAAAATCATGGTGCATTTGAAAGAACTCAATATATAAGTCCCAATAAGTCCCTAAAAAGTTTTTTTTTAAAAAAAAGAAACATTTCTTATATATTTCTTTTTATTGTTAGAGCAAATACTAAAAAACTGGAATTTCTACATTTGATAAATATGAAAATATGAGGAAAGGTTCAAAGGCATGTAACAGTGCTACTTTCCTTAAGATTTTATTTGCCCTCACCCTATTATTTACCTAATAGATATACAAAAAAGGTTGCAGACAATAAACCTTAAAGATATAATAAAATCTAGTGACCGATTATGTTTTGCACTGATAAAATCAATTCATCAAGCAGTCACCGGCGTATCACAAGATCACTGAACTTCTATATAGGTTTTCTGCAGCAAAGCTTTTATAAAATAAATATGGTGTTTGAAAAAAGAAAAAGAATTCAAAGAATTGTTTCTATATATTTTCAAAAAATTAGAGGAGCCTTTTATAAACAAATAAGTATCATTTTCTACAGCCATGACTATCTGTTTTGAATAGACAAAAATTGTTTGGTTTTGAAAAGTTGAAACTATTAATTTTGAATAGACTTTTCTCTATTTTTAAACAAACTTAACTATTTATTTTTTTTCCAATGTGGGATTATTTTTCATATTTTATTTTGAAAATCTCTAACAATCCCCCATCATTTTCAAAATAATCTAGATTTATGATGACTTTGGAAATCAATTGCATAAATGAAGGTATATTCCAATTTAAACCTTCACTTAGTGAAAACAAGTTAAAGTTAACCGAAATCACTCAGTAGACTATACTTTGAACTAGTTATTCCATTTCGTTAACCAAACTTATCTCACACAATGATGTCAACACCTAATGAATGCTTGGTATCCAGTGATACATTTATGGCCATCTGTTTGCATTCTCTTTTCATGAGTGCTATTAGAGCCAAGCTCTTAAGCTCCTAGAAGTAGTCACACTTCACACTCACATAGATAGCTCTTATCAAAAGTGTTCTCGTAACTATAACACTCTAACATATTTATGTTATGGGTCTATTAAGAGTATATTACTTATCATTTCTTTACCATTACGGATACCTAGCATTTTACCTGTGATGGCATTAAACATTACTATAGTGCTAACGGTCACATATAGATGATGTATTTTGTATCATTAAACTCAAGACTTGACGTTATACCAAGCATTGAGTCGAGTTTCCACCATGGGTGATTTTACTTAATGAGCTTGTGCCTCATCCCTATTGAGGTTTTTTTTTACTAATTCTCTAGCAAAACTTTTGGTTAAAGGATCTACCAAGTTTTCACTTGACCTCACATAATTATAGTGATCACTCTATCTGAAATTAATTGTCAAATATAGCTATGTCTTAATCCAATATGTCTAAACTTTTCATTATAGACTTGGCTATATACCCTTGCTAGAGTTGCTTCACTATCACATCAGATATAAATTGGGGAATTTGGTGTAGGCCATTATCATAACACCTAGGTCTATGAACCTATAGCTAGATATTGACTAAAAGAGTCATCACCAATCTTTTTTATTTATGTGTAATTGACCACTTAACTGAATCTGTTACATATTAAAGAGAAATCTTAAGTTTGACTCAAGTATCTTTAAAAGGTAGATTTAATATCTATAAAACCAGAACTAGGTCTAGGAGTATGATTATAGCATCTCTATAACGTTCATCAAAAGATAGTACTAGTTTGATTTCGTGTTATTTGTTGAGCTTTAAAAATCTTACTAGATAATTAATTATTAGAAATTATTTTTAATTGACTCCAATACTTTTCGTAGAAAATTAAAAAAATTATTTTACTTCAAGAGTATACAAGAAAACTATTATTTTTCTTACAGTGGCTCCATCGTTGGATTATCTACCATTTAAAAATTTTCAAGGAAAAATTAATATTTCAACTTTTTTCTAAGATTTCTTTTCTTATTTTATTTTTTAAAAAAAATTAATGCCTTTGTTTTAGAAAAAATTGATACTTTTAACTTTTTTTTCAAATATATTTTTTGAAATTACGAAGATTTTTATTTAGAGAAGATTGATACTTTCAATTTTTTCTTAAATCATTTATTTTGAAATATATTTTAAAATTATTTATTTTTAAAAAAAATTGATACTTTTAACTTTTTCTTAAAACTTTTTTATTATTATTATTATTTTTATTTAAGAAAAATTGAGACTTTCAATTTTTTCCTTAAAAAGTTAACTATAAATATATTGTTGCAATCCATCCACTGTAAAACATTTCAAAAAGTATTGAGTTAATTTTGAAATTTTTTTTCTTATTTTATGCTATTATATTATTTTTATTTTTTTAGAACAAACTAATATTTCGTTTTTAAAAATATTTTCTGTTTTAAAAAAAACAAACATAATATTTAAAATAAAAAACAAATACATATTCAAAAAAAAATTTGTAAATAAGTAAGTTATTTATTCATCCAAAATAAGTAAAAAATTTTGTTAAAAAAAATAAAATTATAATATAATAAATAATAAAAAAAAAAAAAACAAAAAATTAATTAAACATATACATATGAAGGTTCTAATTCAAACAAATAACCAGATACATAGTATTATCAGCAAAATGTCGAGTGCCATGAAGCCTAATTACTGCAATATCTTTAACAAAATTTAAAATATTTGCACTTGTAGTGTCAGAAATTAAACTTGAATTTATTTTATATATTCATATATTTAGTCAATAAAATTATATATGAATATAATTAGTCATGACCTAATTTATGTCAGATCAAAGTTATTAATATTTTTTGAGTTTAATGTTTAAAGTTTAAATTTATATATTGAGTAGTATAAATACATGTATACTTCAATAACTTAAAATTAAATCAATAAAAATTAAGTTCTATTAAGTGACTTCATTTTTTTTTTTGAAGTGATTATCATTTTCTAACAAAATGATATAAAGGATGGCATTAATATTATTATTCTATAATAAATACATGTATTATAAAAAACTTTGAATTTTATAAATTTTTGTAATTTGATTTAGCTACTGTATTTCTTTTATTTACTTTTAAATAAAATTATCTTAACCATTGTTGCTATTAGCTTTTTTTTTTTTTTTTAATTATCTTCATATTCTAAGTTCGTTGGAAATTTATAGCTTTAAAATAAAAAAATTAATTAAATAATCAAATCAATATTTTCATTTTGATACATTAGAATACCGTAAAATATAAACTTAGTTTATAGAATTTTCAAATTTTACTAAAGGATGATAATCAATACTAGAAAATAAAAAGTGAGTTTATATTTAATATACTATTAGTATATAGATTATATATACTATCAGTAAATTAAATAATATTATTTTATTAATGAACAAATATCAATTCTTAAAATAAAAATATAAAATTTTAATATTTAAAAAAAAACTTACTATATCATTTGATTTATCTCTTTAATGAGATGATTTTATCTAATTTATTATTAATATATAAAATTTATACTCTGATATTGTATTAAATATAAACTCATAAGAAGCATTGAAAAATGATTATAATGGGTTTACTTGCATTAAAAAAAAAAAAAAAACCCCTCTCACCTAGATCAAATATGATATATAGATAACTGAATTTTCATTTAATAGTCGAGCAAGTGAGGCATTTATAACTCAAAGACGAACCTAACTTATAAATTGTTGCAATTTAGTTCTAATTCAAAAAAGTTGTAAGTTGAAGAGAGTGAATAAGAGTTTGTAAAACACAAACAAGGTTATGTCAATGGAACTGAGGAAGAAAATGAGGCAGAAGGCAGAAAAGAGCAAGTTCCCCTGTTTACAAGAAGCTGTGAGACATCATCGTAACCCATAGTTTTAGCCATGTAGAGAGGAGTGACCCCTGTTTTGGTCTGGGCATTAGCATTAGCTCCTGCATCGATCAATGCTTCAACCACCTCCAACTGGCCACCCTCCACGGCCAAATGCAATGCCGTGTGGCCTTCATTGTCCTGGCGTTCCAAGTCTGACCCCAATTCCAGAAGTACCAAAACCACATCCTTGTGACCTTTTATGGCCGCTGCATGCAAGGCTGTCAGACCATATTGGTCCTGAAAATTCATGGCAGCACCTTTGTGCAAGAGTGATTGTAATCGCCCCATGTCTCCGCATCTTGCCGCCATCAATACTTCCTTTCCACGCTCCATAATCTCCACCATCTCTTCCTACATGATCACAAGGAACAGATCTTTTTAGGTGGCCCATGGGAAAAACAACATAATTTTCCCCTTAAGCTTCTGTTTCTTTTGCGTCAATCAAACTTAATATATTTAAAATAGAAATTAAGAAGAGAGTTACTTTGTTATAGAATTTCCAAAATGCGCAAGAAATTAAGTTAATCTATTTTGGCATTATATTTTCAATTTGGGTGATCTTTGAACAAAAAGTATTCAAATTAGAGTATTTTATGGAATGTTTTATTAATGCAATTTATATATTTCCATAATTTTTTATTTTATGTTTAAAATTAAACAAAATTAAAAACATATCAAAGAAATTGAACGAAGTTAATGTACAACAATAAAATTCAATATTTACTTGTAATACGATGACAAGTTTTATCGTATTACTTTTTTGATAGTATAATTTTTTTGGGTCAACTTTAGGCACTATAATTAAGCATTTCAAATTAATATTTAGGGATTGCAGGTTAATTAGAAACGATTAACAGTAGCAAAAAAAAAAAAAATCCTTCCGTCACCATGCCTTTTCTTTTATTTTTGGGTCCAACAATCAACATATTTCTATAAGATGGTTGGAATGCCCAAATTATAAAGCTCAACTACTTACATGCCCCTTATCACGTGCAACATCAAAAGCTGAGCGGCCACGATCATCCGGGATTGTGGGGTCCGCGTCCATCTCGATCAACATTTTCACCATCTGACGGTTGCCATTAACTACAGCCCTGTAGAGTGCAGTCCTCCCATCATTGCTCTTTGCATTCTTATCCATACCCGATTCTACCAACAGTTTAGCACACTCGATGTTTCCCTTAGCCGCCGCCAAATGCAACGGTGTTCTCCCTTCCTTATCTCGGCAATCCAACGGCTCACGTCTTCCCTTTCTTAACAACGCCACCAGCTCTTCCGTTCGATCGAATGTGACAGCCGCGTGTAACTCACTCCATCCTTTTGATTCCCACCGTGGATCCACCTGATAATAGCCCACATTATTTTCATTCGGACTTTCTTCTTCTTCACGTGCGGCTACCTTTAAACCGGCCTCAAGCAGCAAATTCACCATGTCCTCCGAGTTATCATCCAGCTGAGTGGCGACTCGGAGGAGTGACTCAGCTTCTTTAGCTGATAAATCATTAAAAACCGATTTCTGGCGCTTGATCATGTTCTTCACAACATCAAAATCCCCACAACTAACAGCATGTTGGAGAAGAAATGGCCCCACATAGGCGACCTTGAGCTTGATAGCCTGAGTTGGTCGAGTTGAAAGCCACGAGTTGACCGAGTCGAATTGAGTTGACCCGTCCGGGTCGGGGTCGAACCTGGCGGTTCTGATGAGGAAACGGTCGGAATGGGAGCGAGGAAAAGTGAGTGGGATCTGGTCCTGGGGTTTAAGAATGATTTGCAGGGAGACTTGTGATGAAGGGGGAACAAGTCCACTCGGTGGGTTAACCAGAAATTTATGAGGAGAAGAAGTTTGGACTTTGAAAGCTACTGGAGAAGAAGGGCAAAGGGACCTTAAAAGCAGGTTACAACGGCATTTGGTGTTGAGAATGAAGTTTATGCGCACTTCAGCCTCTGAAATTTCAAGCAAATTTTCCATTGCAAAGGTTTGTGAATTGCTATGAAACTCTTTGTTGATGGAAGAAGTGTCTGCTCGAAATTATTTGGATTAAAGCTTACATGTGATCTTGTAGGGACACAGGATTTATTGTCGCCATAGCCCATATGGTACATATTATATACAAAACAAAGTTTTTATTTCCTATTTTTATTATGCATCCATCATTTGAAAGAGTGAAAAATTTTTTAAAAAAACTAAAAAATTGATTCGTAGTTATTCAATTGAGATTAAATTAAAATATTAAATATATATATTAAATTTAGAGTAAATAACGAATCGAATCAAAAAGTGAAGAACAAAAAGAATTTAATTATATATTATTATTGTTATTTTTTTATATTATTTCAAATTTTTATAAAAAATAAATTAAAATTTATTTATATTAAAATTTTATATAAAATAAAAATTAAAATTAAAAAATTGATAAATTAAATCAAATAAAATAAAATTCAATTCAAATAATATAAAAAATCGAATGACATTCTCATAGAATTTTAAAAGTTTGTAATATTATATAATATTAAAAAAAAAAAAAAACCAAACCATACAGGAACCCTATCATCTCCTATCATGTGGGAATGTTTGCTTATAATGTAATAAACACTAGCATATGAGGCATTTCCTTTGAATTGATGGTAATTTGATTTCATATTCGAGAATAATCGAATTGGTGAACTTTTTTAAGTCTAGGCCCAAAAAGAAAAAAAAAAACTTTTGATTCATTGTATAATAATTCTTTCAAATAATATCTAATAATTTTAAAATTTAAAATTTATTACATGTATTTATTTTCAAATTATTACTTATTTTATAAAAAAATTGAATCGGGTACAATATGTAACGTTTCTAAAGGATTTCTGTTATAGATAAATATATCAAGAGAAACATGAATGTTAGCTTCATGAAACATATTTTTTATTATATTAAAATTCAAACAAATTTATTGTTATTATTTATATTTAAAGATTAATACATTTGAGATTAGAAAGAAAGTAAACAAGAAAAACCAACAGAGATGTCTAAAACTAGCAGACATGCAATGAAACCCAATGCAAGAATGAAACACAAGATTAAATATCAACCAATTTTTTGCTTTTGATAGAGAAAAAAATTTAAGCAACTTAATATATTTATTACCGTCCATAACCGGCATTCAAATCAATCACATTTCTTAACATTGCCCAGTTTATAGCTAGACCATCAAGATACACCTGATACAAGTGCTGCCCAATATTTGATGTCCTCGTTGAATATATCTTCAGCATCGGGTTCAGATGGAAGGCGTGGCGGCTTACTGCTAAGCATGCTATCAACCGAAAAAAAAAATTTAATGAAACATTTATTCCAGATCAGAATTCGTCATTTTTATTCAAATTATATCACATAATTATGTATTAAAATTTTAATTGTTTATTATACATTGATAATTAAATGATAAGTATTTATTTCAACAAAATCATATATGATGTGTAATAAATAATTAATTTTTTTCTTTAATATAAGTATGCAACATGATTTGAATGAAAAAAACATATGTCGACTAAAAATAATTATTTCATACAATTCTTTTTAATCAACTGGAAGTCTGAAAAACAATAACCAAGAGGCTCATACCTGTTACAGACAATAAACATCATCAGAAGCAATTTCAACAAAAATAGAGGCTAACACCAGATATGACAACATTAATTTAGGATAGAGGTCTCTGGTTTACACTGTCTCTGCCTAGATATAAGAAGTAGAAGTTAATATAGTGTATCTGTGCACATGTTCAAGCATGTCTTTGAGTGTGCACAATATACGATGCAGATAATACATTCTACAAGATTACCATGAGACATTCTGCTTATCTTTCTGATCAGAGAAGGGTGGAAGTTTTTCTTTGCGTTGCTCAATGCCAAAGCCACCATGGCTGAAATATATACAGAATATCAGACCAACTTAGCACATTCCGATCGTACTAATTAAATCGTGAAAAGAAATACATGGGGCGGCTAATTGTGGCAGGGATAAAACAAGCAAACAAGGAAAGTTCAAAGAAGGGAAAACAATTTGGTACTTCCCCGCATGACAAGAGAGCGAGAGTGGTATCCTCACACTTCCAAACAATACGATCTCTCTCATCATCTCGAGAAACTGGTGTAGCAGACCATATAAAGAATCCTCCTGGCCTCCTGGCCTAAGAATCTTGTTCAGCTCCAATAATGGTTTCCCACCTGCATTTTGCATTCAAAAGCAGGACAAAAGTGTCAAAATATTTCCCTGATATGCTGAAAAACCAATACTGAAATAATGAAAATAAATGTAACAACATGGTCCAACATGTGCTGAAAGAGATTAATAAGAGATACCATCCCATCTTCATTGGATGCACAATGTATCAAATCATATGCATTGTCTGGAAATGTCAGATTTTCTGTACTAAATGCAGAAAGTGTAGCAGGAATTCCCCTCTCTAGAGCAAACTGTATCTGAGCTTCATGTTAACCCTTTGGGGCAAATGACATGGCAATTACTTCTTTGTCCAGCAAATAACCACAAAGCCAGCAACGCCACAGCCAACATTTAACATAACCCTAATGTGCTTCCCCTGTTTAATAGCTGGTAAAGTCTGGAGGAAACAAAAAAAAAAGAGGAAAAGAAGGAAATGAGGATTAGAAGAAAGTAGCACAAGTATTTGTACGGTCACTTGTTAGGGGCATTTGATGGTCAAAAGGATATAGTAATCTTTTTCTTTCTTAAAGCCTTCAATGGACAATGAAGGGTATCTTTGTCATTTGTATCAATTTGACTTGACATGACCAATGCCACCTTAGCTTGGCCTTGTCCTAATTGTCCCCTTATGGTCCGCCTTAGCTTACTTATAAATATGAAGACTTGGGTAACATAAAGCCAGGTTCATTCCATTCACTTCTCTCTCCTTCCTACCTTCCTATTTTCTTCTCGACCTAATCTTCACTAACTTGAGAGTTGAAGTGCAAATGTAAGGAACACCCCCTGCCTTTGCCTCTAATTGTCCTGTTCTTTTGCTTTCATAGGAATACTTTTAGCTTGGAGCTCGGCACCAACAGTTGGTGGACTAGGTAGGGGCATATTTCATATTAGTTGAGTACAAAACAATGACACCAAGAAAAAGAACCCAAGAGGAAGGAAAGGTAGCCTCTCCAATTGGAACAAAAACTCACCTTAGCGAGCATTTTATCCTCCCATCTCATACACATACGGGACCGACCATGGAACAATTTCAAGCCCTGACAAACAAATACAAGCTTTCAAGCAAATGTTGCAAACTATAAGCCCACCATAAGTCTCAAAAGTGCCAGACTTAATCACACATGGCTGAGAAGCTGCTATTGGACAACTAAGCTATGAAGAGGTGGAAGCCTCTTTACCTTTTAGAGAAGAAGAACACATAAACCCAACTCATCACCAGCCCGGCCACAATTCCACCACAACCAAAATCTAAACAAACAGATCATGAACTTTAACCAAACAGAGATTTGAAGCTTGGATACAAGCCATGGAGAAAAAGTTGAAAATGAAATAGTGGCATTTAAGGATGAGCTTAAGTTCCTGAAAACCTCACCATTTACTGAAGAAATTGACAGAGTAATGCCTCCAAAGGATTTAAAATGCCAACCTTAGAGACATACAATGGTATTTCTGACTTCTTTGATCATTTGAAACTTTATAAAACTAACATAATAATGCAAGAGGCATATGAGGTTATAATGTACAAAGGTCTAGCCATTATGTTAAAAGAAGCAGTTAAGTCTTGGTATAGCAGTTTAGAGCCGAGGTCGATCACTACATTCAAAGACCTCAGCCACTCATTATTGTCTAGATTTGTGAGTAGCCAAAGAGCTAAGAAAATAACCTTGAGTTTGATGTCAATTCACCAGGGGTGGAATGAAACTTTGAAAAGTTATGTCACACATTTTAACATAGAAGCTCTACACGTTAAATACCTGAAATAGACAACCACTGTTGTCGCACTAACTAGTGGGCTAAATGATAAGAAGTACCACTTAAAGCTGACATCGTCATTAAAATTACCTAAAACTCTGGCTGATGTCCTACTAATAGCAGAGAAATACATTAATACTGAAGCTATAATAAAAATAAATTGAGGTGAGAAAGGTTCATCTTCCCTTTTTGCTTCGAGGGAAGAGAGGCTCATCCCTCTTTCTCGATCATAAAAAAAGTAAAGATTTTTACGATCTTTCCCTAATAGGGAGACAACATAAGGCTAGAATTTTTGGTAGAGAAAAAAGCTACACTGCACTGAATACCTCTCGTGAGAGGATTTTGAAGTAAATTGAAAGAAATATTAACCTCAGATGGCCTAAGCCACTGAGACAGAACATAAAAAGGGATCTTAAAAAAATGTCTTTTATAGAGACATCAACCATAATACAGAAGATTGTGTCCATTGAAAAAATAAGATTGAAGCTCTAATAAAATGAGGCCAGTTGAAGAGATTTGTAAGACAGAAAAGACAAGACCAATTAGAAAAGACTATAGATAAGACCACATAATGCCCATCGAGGCAAGGATAGAAGAACAGGGTAAAAAAAAAGGGATGCTCATGGAGAAAAGCTAAATTAAGAAAAGGGCCATGTTGACAATAGTAGGCTAATTGCTAGGGTGATTAACATGATCATAAAAGGTAGCTCCACCTCAACGAAAAAAAAGTTTAATCTGAGCATGACAATGGCAGTAGGCACCTCGATTAAAAAAAAGACTAGATAGACAAGTCGATCTATTTTAACTCAGAAGATCTAAAAGAAATCCAACACCCACATAATAACACCATAGTGATCACAGTCTTAGTATATAACTATGTGGTCAAAAGAATCCTATTTGATAAAAAAAAAATTCAATCAACATCATGTACTTTAACTGTTTGAAGAAAATAAAGATTGGCCAAAATCAATTGAAGTGATCACCACCACATTAGTGGGATTTTAAAATGAACAGGTGCTTGTAAGAAGAACTATCAAGCTCTTGATCTCCTTAGGGACTGAACTGAAAACTATCACCTTGGTCATAGAATTCATAGTAGTAGATGTCTCATTTACCTATAACATGATATTAGGTCAACCTAGCCAGTATATTATGTGATTTAC